AGTAAGAAGAAGCTACTACACTTTATCTGCTAATCCACACCAACAAGCTGTTTTTCTTTTTGTCTTTCTCTTTAAACGCATCACTCGCCTCCGTTTCACACAAATTATCGCCGCTTCTCTTTGTCTTCCAGAGCTTACATGTAAACAATCTGGTACGTGCGAAGCGGCGAGGAGCTGTTGCCACAACTGTGAGCATTCACAAAAACACACACACACACACACACACACATTCCCACAAAATGTTCATCCTTGTTTTCCTCCTTCATATAATTCTTCTTTTCTTTTCCCCTTCAGTTCCCACGTGTCTTCACTTCCCCGCACCTAAAAAGTCCCCAGCTGGCAGAGAAGCATGAACGCTCAGCAGAGCCACCAGCAGAATCCCAAAAGAACAGAGTCAACAGCAGGAAAACCTCAAGACCTCCAGACGTGCCGAATGTGAACGAGCAGGCGTACGCACGGTCTGAGCTTCTCGTGGATCCAAAGCACTGCCACATGGGCTGCTTTGCATCTTAACTGACCTCTTCCTCAAAGCCAGATTCACACTAACGTACGATGCTGCCCGTTTGCGCAGCGGTGACTAATCAGCTCCACGTTCCATCCTCGCAAATAGAAATAATCAAACGAGCAGCGATGATAGCGCCTCTGTTCACTATGATTGACTGGATAAGATGCTAAATGAAAGAAGAGGGAGGAGGTTCATCAGCACCAGATGCAGCGACACCTGAGTGATGCACAGAACCTACATATGATCCTCCTGTTGGAATATTTGAGCTAATGTTGCATCTGCTTCAATTACACAAAAATTCCACATTCTGTTCTGTGGAAACGTGACCCGACTGAGTTCACCGTGTCCCGCTGACCCACGGGGAGAAGCCTTAGAGTGGATGTGGGTGCACATGTGACTTCTGGTGTTACTACGATTCCTGAGTGGCCGGTAGACGTGAGCTCACACAATGGGCCTCTGTGTGAGAGCGAGCGATGGGGAGAAGGGATTAAAAGGGAGAGAAGCCGAAACGGACAGCGCCACATGTTAGACTGGACTTTGTGCACTGTAAAAAAAAAAATAGGGTGAAAATCTGTCAGCAAGAGCGCCAGAAAATATACATTAAATACTATAATGTTCAAACACTGTTCAAAAATAATGAAAATATTGGCAAATATCTGTAACGTAATTATACTTTTAGTAGGTTTATATACAGGAAAATCATTCTATGTGACACAGTGTACAAGAACAAATTACTATCTGTAAAAAAAAAAAAAATAAAACTTAAATATTATATTATTATATATAGCTTTGGTCTGTTTTTGTTGTTTAGCGACAGTCAAAATGGAAATTAATGCTTTTTAATTAACAACTTAACAGAATAGAGGAAGTCTATAAAATACAAGCTAAAAACAGATTTACTTTTTTTTTAAATATACAGAATTTTTTCTTTCAAATAACGACAAATAAAACCGGAAAAATCTGTAAAATACCAGCTTAGAAAGTTATTTACATGTTTTTCTTCCTTAATGTTTATCATTTGACTTTCAAATAAAAGGAAAATATCTGGATAAATAAAATAAATGAATAGAAATTCACTGTTTTAAATAGTTGTTTTTAAAAAACAGTCTCATTTTACAGTCAAACAATAAAAAATGAAAAACATTTGCAAAAATGCACATTTTTGACGTCAATGTTATCAATCCATTTTTTGCCTTTTTTTTTTTTTTTTTACATTTAATTAGTGAATTAATGTCCATTGTTGTCAATTGTTTTAATAAAAACCTGTTAAAACCTGTTAAAAACTAGGATATTTTTACAGTGTACTTCAGCGCAAGTCAAAATGCGGTAGGTGAGTCTGTCGCTGTAAAACAAGGATTACTCTATTTATTGCAAAAACTGCTTTTTTGGCTCGTTTTTCATTTCGCTGATGTATTTATGGGCTAGTTATAAGCTACGTGATTAACTCCAGAGCTTGACAATGCCAGTCCACATGTATTACATCAGTGTTTAGAGCGAGAGGGCAGAAAAGTCTTTCACGGAGTATCGGGGTGCGACCTTTAATTGCTTAACCGCACATGTGGCAAAACTTAGTCAACTACACCCAGAGCGCTCCGCCCAAACTCTGGCAGCAAAACGGGAAACTATTGGGGTTGAGTCCAGACCGCAAACCACTCTGTTGCTTCAAACCCCTGAAAAAAAAATGTAAAAATGCGAACCCCGACTTGTGCAAGTCTTGAGCTGAAACAAAGGGATGAGTCGAGGAGGAGGAGGAGGAGGAGGAGGAGGCGAGCCGCTGGTGTGGCCTCCCTGCTCCTGAAGCTGCCTCCCCTCCCAGATCCTCGCCGAGACCACATGAAAGGCTGCCGGGCCGGGTTCCCATATGGTGGAGAGACAGGGCTGTGTGTCCCAGTGTGTCGGTGTGTGTGTTCAGAGCTGGTTATGGTGGGTGGGGGTTCCTCCGACCTGCTGCCCCCGGCCTGAAGAAGCCACAAAGACAGCTGTTTTCCTGAAGAGCCTCGCTCCCTCTCAGCCCCGACCAATTAGGACGCCCAGCGATGCTATTAGCGGCTGTTTACCATAAACGCCCTTCATCCTGCCCTCTCTCTCCCTGACCTCTGCACTTTCACTCATCTGCACCGTTTCTCATCCACGTTTGAAATGCCACAGTCCGGGTTAAATCGATTACTCTTAATACCAATTAACCTTTAATTCTTAGCTGTATTTTTACGGCTACTTCCTTATATTTGAAGAGTTAATATGCAAAAACAGACAACTCCATTTTTGAAGATTTTCAGAAAATTTTTTTCTTCTTGTTGTTTGTTTGAGATAATATCGGTCAAACTGAAGCTGAGTGGATTTGATTCAGCAGAAATGACAAAAACAGAGATAATTTAAGTTTGATTGGTGTTGTCTCAGGTAGACGATGGAACAGTGGGTTCTCTGAAGGTTTGTGAAGATGGTTTTGCAAATGAACTCTTTATTTAATGTTGCTGTTTGCACTGTGCTGGGAAAACAGCAGTTCGATTTTAATGTACATACACATCTATTTGGATGCTGAATTTTTTGCCACCGAGCAACACTGAGCGACGGAAATGTCTATTTCCTGACACAACAGCAGCCCGAGCACGAGAGTGTTCCACGTTTGTTCAACCCCAACACAAGACAAACACGATAAATAAATCAAATGACTCAAGTGGCTCATAGTTTGTGGTAAAAGTGGGCGATCTGGATGTAAGGTCACATTGCGATTTCCTAATTTAGTTCGACTGATGTGATCACATGACTGGTTGTGGTTGCCTGGATACAGAAGATAAAGTCAAACTAGTTCTCTGATTTTACTGTAAACCTTCTATTCTTGCTTAGAAAGCTCCTTCTGTAGAACATAATGGTCTGGCTGCACCTCATCATCATTCTGCTCTTGGAAAGAAAAGAAAAGAAAAAAAAAACAGCCTGTTGGTTTGAATTTTTTTCTAAACCAATCACAGTCGTTGTGGGCGGGGCTAAGCTTCAGTGTTCCCTGAAAATCAGAACTGGTGGACGTTTGCATGCAAGGAGAGCAGCAATGTCATTAAAACTGATTAAAAAACAAACTAGCGGAGCTGCCTTATTGCAGGATATAAATCCTCAGCAAGACATCTGAGGTCAGCTGCTGCTCAGAGGCTGTTTCTGTTGTTTCCCACGGCGACGACAACGGGACGGTGCAGGTAGCGGAACTGAGGACAAAGCCCCCGAAAATAAGCAGCCGACGGCAGATTTACACCCTCATCCTACATCCGATGAGTCAGATTATAAAACCGGAAGTCATGGTTCACATCTCCGAGGCTTCTCTCAGGATGCTGCTCTTCATCCGTCCTCTGTTTACACAGTGTGAAGTCTGTCCAGGCGTCCAGCTGCCTCCACAGTGAGTCTCTCCTCCACAGCTGGACTCCAGCTCCATCATCATGACAGTCAGGCGTCTCATCATGAGTAGACTCTGTGGCGTTCCTGTTCTGCCTCAGGGAACTTAGTGTAGCGGCACATGAACCAGTTTTCCTCCTGCTGAGGGTTCTAGATCCTCAAACTTCATCTCTATTACCATCTGGACACTGAAGTGAGAGGTCACAGGATGAGAGATTCACCGGAGAGGAAAACGGGTTGGGCCGGTTAATAGAGACTAAACTTACTAAAGAAATTACTTCCATGAAGCACCTTTAATGATACGATCTGTATGATTCCTCTGTAAAGGAGATAAAACGGCAACTTAGGATCGTCCACGATAGAAGCTCGTCAGATGGTGGTGTTCAGTCACAGAGCTGGGGAGGCCTTTTATCTGACAAACATATTTCCCTTTCACATAAAACAGAAAACCAGACATAAAACCAAATCAATCAGTCAACACACAAAATGCTCAAAATCTAAGCACAAAATGACAACGTTTTATCAACATAACTTCAGTCTAAATGTGTCACTCATAAATGAAAACGTTTCATGGTGCTCTGCACAAGCACGAAGCCATTAGTCACTCCAACCATCACGGGACAAAAACTTTTCAGCTGAACTGCAGGCGGTGTTCACACAGACCAGAACAGAGACAAGTTCGGAAACAGATCAAAAATCTAAGCAGTAAAATATCTAACTTCTTCCAGTTTTGGTAACAACACATGAAAATGTTGTCGATTCCTAATTTATTTATTTTTTTCAATTTTTTGTAAAATAAGGAATCAAAGAAATTCAACTTCCTTTTTTGTGTTTTCTGTGATTAATGGCATTATAACTTTATCATACTGTACAGAAGACATGAAGTAATTATTATTAGGGTCCGAGCACTAACAGTGCAAGGAACCTATTGTAACCCTTGGCTTTATTATTATTTTTCTCCAGCAAAATGAAACTCAAATTAGAGGACCTAAACATGCACAAAAAGTCACCAAAATCGCCACACACACCAGGACGGACGAAAAATTTGATATTTTAAGGGACGTGGACATGTCACTGTCAAAATAGCTCCACAGCGCCACCTTGAAATTTTTAACGCAGTCCCATCGGAAGCACGTTTGACCTGGAGCTACGACATTTGGTGGGAATATAGAGAAGGTCAGGACGGACAAAAAAGTCAGCCAGCACCAAGCTCTACAATGCAACACAGCTCAGCTGCGCCCCCTACAATATTTCAACAGAGTCCCATCGCAGCTACGTTTCACCTACAACTACAAAATTCAGCACACATATATAACAACTCGTGACACACAAAAAAGTCCATTAGCATGTTTCTGTAAACCCAACAGGAAATCTACCATGTTGGAAAAACGGCGAGCAGGCCATTTTCGCTCAAAAATGCCGATCTGTCACCAAACTCAACACGCCGGATCAGAGTCCAGCCTGGAGCACGTTTGCACCACAACCCGACATGCGCGAAGGCCGACAATCGTACGGCGAGGACCCGTCCATCACCGCTTGTGGCTTTAGTTATTGTTATTTTTGTTGATTTCCAAGACATGTAGTTCTCCCTATTTGTAGACATGATCGTGTGTCTCTGTGGAGGTTCTGTTGCAGAATGAAAATGTAAAACTCTTGGTGTTCAGACGGTGCATTAATACATTTATAATCATAACAGTTTAGACAGTTTAGTTTGCCATTAGTGCACTAAAAGCTCCCCTCCTATTCAGAGCCTCAAATCCTTCATTTTGGCTCATTTCTTGTCTTTTATCAAGAAGTCTCTCACACGTCTACTCTTACATTTTATCCTCCTCCACCTTATCCTCTTGTTTCCTCCCTCCGTCCATTGAGCCACCGAGCAGGGACCACTGCAGGACGGTCAGCGTGCTGAGAAAGCTCAACGCCGGCCAACGCTGCCCATGTGTGTGTGTGCTTTAAAGTGTGTAACTGTGCCGCTCTGCCAGAAGGAATTAGCTTCTATTTTCCCCTCTTTGTTGTGTGTTGCCTCGTCTGACTTGTCAGTTTGAACGGCATTCAGATCGGTCCAAAAAAACACTTTTTTTTAAGGAAAGGGCGCATGAAATGAGAGAAAAGGGGAGAGGAAGAGGGAGTTAAGAGGAGGAGGGGAGGTGTGCTAAATGCCAGAGCTGGACTGAGCGGTTTGGAAGACTCAGAAAGCGAACGAAGGGCAAAGGAGGGGAAACTACAACAAACTGAGTGGCCATCATATTTTCTGGTGAGCAAGTTTGGAGTGTGTTTGCGTAGGCACACCCCTGATTACGCTTCATACACAAACACAGTTGCTCGAGATTAAACTGGTCT